TGTTAAACACAGGAATTCCTCTGTTAACCACCAAATGAACCCTAAACCATTTTATAAGTATCAGCAGTTACAAAGTCACACACATCAAACTTGCAGCCCTTTAGCAGTGATGGTGATTTCTTTACCCTAATACTTTCAATCACATTTTAATAAAGATGATTCACTTAAAGATAAATAAAAACCCTGTGTTCCTCCTGCAGAGAACAGTCCATCACTACAGCTTAGGGAACAAAAGTAACCGTGTTTCACCTTTACTAGCAAAGCAATAAAAGTTTTCCTTTTGCTCAAAACCTTGTGCTCATTATTGACAATGGCGACAAGGTCCAAGCCTTCTGTATCTCTGTATTGAAATACCAAGATCTGCCACAGTTGGATATTTAATAGATTCTAAAACTATGTTCAAAAGTGAAATCCTAATGTTCCCTTCTAAGCTCCTCCATTTGTTCCACCTCGGGAGCAACTTTCCACCTGCAGTCCCCCTGTAACTGAAGAGAAGCCAGACAATATTCATTAGATCTGGATTCTGAGCGAACTCATTTTGTATCTGAGTGATAATTTGGCGCCTCTTCTGGGGCAGGTGGAGAGCAGAAATCCTATCACCCAGTTGGCCAATAAAGGTGCAAGGTGGGCGGCCCCTGGCACTACCTCCTAGGCCTCTCGGCTGGGAATCCCGGCCTGGCTGTGGCTTTCTGTGGGGATTCCTGTGGTCAGAAGGCCCGTGAAGCGGCCCCGGCAGGAAGGCGCAGGAACGTGGTTTAGGCACCCAGAGATCGACTCAGGCCTCCTGCAGGCTAAGCAGGCTTGACGGAACCCAGGGCTTCCCACCAGCTGCACCCCGAGTCCTGAAGGAGGTCTTAAAACTCCTCAGCCAGAGGGAGGAGGGGATGGCAGTGAGGCGCTCCGAGCCGCCCTAAGCAGCACTTGGCATCCCCTGGTTCACAGGGACCCTCGATGCTGTTCAAAGGTGCGCCTTACTATTTCCAGGGCCTGCTTCCTGGGCTCACCTTCAGGCTTTGCCACCGCCTGGCACTGAGACAGTCTTCTGAATCCAGCCCTCTTGGTCTTTGGTTTCCTTCTCTGTAAAATGGCCTGATCACTGCGCTTTCTCTAGGGGTCCTGTCAAGAGAAGGGAGAGGTGAGACTTGGATGAGAACATTGAATGCGTTGCAGCAGGGAGTGCTCGGTTTCTAGTGTCCAAGAAGGACTTTGCCCTGGTCATGTCTGGTGAGCAGGTTGAGTGCAAGGGGAATGGGACTTCTGAGAATCCTCACATCCACACCGTACGAATGGGCCGATCCTTGGGAAGAGTTGTGCACCTGCGCAGAGACTTCAGTGTCCTTTCTGGCGTGCCCCTCTCCGTGCTGCGACCTGAAGCGAGTCCATCACTACAGGCTCCTTCATCTTTTGGGGTTTAGGACCAGAATGTTAATCCTTCCCTCCCTGGCTTGAGGGTATCCGAGAGGGCACTTGTGTGATGTGAGCGATTCTGAATCTCTGCCGTGGTTGGCGCTTCACTACCGACGCCCTGCACTTAGACCCTCAGTCCCTGATGTAAGTGGAGGCCATCCAGGGACCTATAGGAAAATAGAGCTGGTGCAGAGGCCCCAGACAGCATGCACGGTGATGGCCACAATTTGTACAAAGATGGATCCTATCCTCCCACCTCCATCTATCCCTAACAGCAGCCCCAAAAGCGGACTCCGCCCCAGGTCTGGTCTCCCCTGGGAGAGCATATGCCTTCCGCAGTCACACCCCCAACTCCGAATAACCCGGAGACGCCAGCCTCCAGGGCCAGCGTGGGTCCAGCACCGCCGCTGCACAGGCAGGCCTTTGGATCAGGTATTGTGCGTCCTACAGGCCTGAGCTGACCGGAAGGTTCTCACACGCTGGGCATGGCGCTAAGGAAATGATGTCCTGAGGATCAAGACAGGACAGACTCCTGGGGCCTCCCTGGACAAAGCTCCATCCACAGAAGTCCTTGTGCTAAGGGAGCCTCCTGGGGAGGAATGACGCTGGCATCTGTCCCCGACCTGACCTGCCACTGTCCCTTTCTCCAGCCCCTGCGGGGGGGGGGGGGCCTGCCCAATGGCGGTATGCAGGAGCCCCGCCTGTCCTGCCTTGGACTGGGGTTGACAGCCTTTTCCAGTGGGACTTGTGCCCCTGCAGAGGGAGGTCGTGTCCTGGGAATCTCCGTCTCCCTCCCTCCCTGATCCGGACTCCCAGAAGGGGGCCCCCTCCCTCCCTGATCCGGACTCCCAGAAGTGGGGGCCCCCTCCCTCCCTGATCCGGACTCCCAGAAGGGGGCCCCCTCCCTCCCTGATCCGGACTCCCAGAAGGGGCCCCCTCCCTCCCTGATCCGGACTCCCAGAAGGGGGCCCCCTCCCTCCCTGATCCGGACTCCCAGAAGTGGGGGCCCCCTCCCTCCCTGATCCGGACTCCCAGAAGTGGGCCCCCTCCCTCCCTGATCCGGACTCCCAGAAGGGGCCCCCTCCCTCCCTGATCCGGACTCCCAGAAGTGGGGGCCCCCTCCCTCCCTGATCCGGACTCCCAGAAGTGGGCCCCCTCCCTCCCTGATCCGGACTCCCAGAAGGGGGCCCCCTCCCTCCCTGATCCGGACTCCCAGAAGGGGCCCCCTCCCTCCCTGATCCGGACTCCCAGAAGGGGGCCCCCTCCCTCCCTGATCCGGACTCCCAGAAGTGGGGGCCCCCTCCCTCCCTGATCCGGACTCCCAGAAGTGGGCCCCCTCCCTCCCTGATCCGGACTCCCAGAAGGGGCCCCCTCCCTCCCTGATCCGGACTCCCAGAAGGGGCCCCCTCCCTCCCTGATCCGGACTCCCAGAAGGGGCCCCCTCCCTCCCTGATCCGGACTCCCAGAAGGGGCCCCCTCCCTCCCTGATCCGGACTCCCAGAAGGGGCCCCCTCCCTCCCTGATCCGGACTCCCAGAAGGGGGCCATCTGGACAAGGGTCCTTAATCCAGGCCGGGAGGATGGGACCCTGTAGAGCCAGGTGAGTGAGGTCAGGGCCAAGCCCAAGATAGCGTTCCTGGCGGGCATGGTGGTCAGCGTTGTCCTGTGAGCAGAGAGCAGGGCAGGAGCCACCGAGTAGCAACACAGGAGGCGAGCCTGAGGCAGGTGGGAAGCACAGGTTTAAGGGGAGGAGGGAGGTGCTCAGGCTTCTTCTAACAGGCTCCGGGGCTGCAGGAGGAAAGCAAAGGGGGGTGAAGACTGACTCTTCAGCGGTCAAATAGCCACATTTTCATGATAAAAATCTAATGGTCCATATTTTTTCTGTTTTATTTTTTGATTGAATTTTATTTGCAATATATTTAGTTGAGGGTGTTTCGATTCTCACCCTATGAATCAGCAGAATAGTTCTGTGATAACTCCTCAGGTGTACTCACTGGAGGGGGATGAGCCCAGCTCACCCTGCGACCTGCCCTCCTCTGCCTTTGTGGTAGTCTGGACACTGTTTTGTTGACCTCTTAAAATGAGTTGGGAAGTCTTCCTTCTGTTCTCTCAAATAATGTATTATTATGCTGTTATTTTTGTTTACATTTTTTTTTTTTGAGAGAGAGAGAATTTTTAAAATCTATTTTTTTTTCTAGTTTTCGGCGGACACAACATCTTTGTATGTGGTGCTGAGGCTCGAACCCGGGCCGCACACCTGCCAGGCGAGCACGCTACCGCTTGAGCCACATCCCCAGTCCATGCTGTTATTTTTTTAAAAAAATGTTTAGTAGAATTCACCAGTGAAAAGTACTTAGGCCTTTGATTATTTCTGGGCAAAAATGTTTTCAATTAGTTTCTTAAATATATATAGGCTATTCAAGTTTTTTGTTTGTTTGTTTTCTTAAGTTATTTTTGAAGAAATATGTACATTTCACATAATTTGGTAAAACTCTTGACACACAAAATTACTTAATGTTTTTAATAATCGATTGTCTCAATCTTTCCTTCATCATTGTGTTTTATTCATCTCTGTCAGTCCTACTAGGTTATCACTTTAAAAATCTTTATAAAACTGATTTAAGCACTTATAATTAATAACCTACTACACATTTGACATTTTTTATTTTAAGCCTCATGAGGTGACAAATGCCTAGTATTCCCAGCTAGTCTGGAGGCCACGGCAGAAAGATCCTGAGTTTGAATTAAAAAAAAAAAGTTCAAGGTACAATAAACATTGTTCACTCTAGTAAATGTGGAAAATACAGGTTAATATAAAGGTTTTTAAAATCAACCAAAATCATATAACCAGTTGAAAATGCCATTAAATATTAAAAGCATATATTCATGCTCATTACAATTACATTTATTGGTTGTATAACATGATTTTTAAACTCATTTTTACATTAACATTTCTTGGTGTGGTGTGGGACTTAAACCCAGGGGCACACACATGCTAGGCAAGTGTTCTGCCACTGAACCACACCTTCAGCCCCTAGATTATGAACATTTTACCATTATTAAAGTGTAATACTCCATTTTTATAGGTCTTTATTTTCCACTCATATTTTGAATATAAACGTGAAACTATATTAAAGTAGACAGATGGTGAAGTTGGAGTCACATAAAGTGATGGTGTTATACTTCTGTAATCCCAGTGGCTCAGGAGGCTAAAGCAGGAAGATTACAAGTTTAAAACCAAGCCCTAAACAACTAGTGAGACCCTATCTCAAAATGAAAACTAAAAAGGGCTGGGGATGTAACTCAGTGGTAAAGCACCTATGGGTTTAATACATGCTACCAAAAACAAAACAAAATTCCCTCTGATGGCTTTAAGGAGACTCATCTATTCATGGGTTGTAAATGTGGACACATTATTCCATAGTCAAGATGTTATTGTCTTAAAGAAGGCCAGAGAAGCACTGGCACATCTAAGTTTATGTTTAATCTAGGTTATAGCTCCCCATTCTTCATCGGTCATGAGAAAGTCCAGACCTCATTTTATAACCATGAAGAACTGAAATATGCCAATAATTAAAATGAGCAAGAAACAAATTTTAGAGACTTCAGAAAGGAATACAATTCTTTAATACTTTGATTTTATCCCAGTGAAATCTGTGTTGTGTTGTACTTATGACCCTCAGAACTGTTAAATAATGAGTTTGTGTTGCTTAAGTCATACTTTATAAGGACAGCAATAGAAAATTAATACATAAATATTATTCTGTTTACATTACTTTCTAATATGCAAAAATATGTCTAAGTTCCTGTTGTACATTTCCTGCCACATCCTGAAAATAACCTCTTCCCTAAGGGACCCAGTTTCCTTTAATTTAAAAATTATATTTTGGAGCTGGGGTTGTGGCTCAGTGGTACAGTGCTTGCCTAGCATGTGTGAGGCCCTGGGTTCGATCCTCAGCACCACATAAAAATAAATAAATAAAATAAAGGTATTGTGTCATTCTACAACTAAAAAATACTCAAAAATAAATAATTAAATAAAAATTATATTTCAAGCTGGGCAAAATGGTGCATTCCTGTAATCCCAGCAGCTTGGATGGCTGGGACAGGAGGATGAGAGTTAAAAGCCAGCCTCTGCAAATGCGAGGCACTAAGCAACTCAGTGAAACCCTGTCTCTAAATAGAATACAAAATAGGGCTGGGAATGTGGATCAGTGGGCAAGTGCCCCTGAGTTCAATCCCCAGTATATATATATAATTTCAAACTAATAACTGGATATTAAATATGCCTATAACTACTGGAATGTAATTGCTTGCTAGGTTGTTTTAGAATAGAGGATATGTGCACATGTAAACATTTCTACATAAATTCTTCATCTGGACTTAAATGTACAAATATTTTACAAGAATGAATATTTAAAGGCAAAGATACAGTATAGTAAAAGAAAGAGAATGAAGTACCAGTACACAATAATGGAATAAATAGATAAATTTGACTTCATGAAAATTAAGCAATTCTGCCCTAGGAAAGATACTGTTAAGTAAACACAAAAGCCAAAGATTGTGAGAAAATATAGGCAATACTTGCATCCAAAAATATTAATAAAATTTCAAAACAATCATAAAAAAAACAAGTAATTTTTTTAAACAGACAAAAAAAATGAACAGACATTTCACTCAAGGTATACAGATGACACACATGAAAAAATGCAACAATGACCCATTAGGGGAAAAGAAATTAAAACCACAACAAAATACTACTGCATACCTACTGGAATGACTAAAATGAATAGTCCATGAATTAGAAAGTGTCAGGAAGGATATGAAGAACTGATAATGTGATATATTCTTGGAGGAGATGTGAAAACAAATAACCACTTGACAGGCTCTTAAAAACTTAATATTTGGACTAACTTCTAACATGAGAGTGTGAAGAGTTTTACAGACATGTTCCCAGGAAAACTGATGAAATATAAAAAATACAATTGAGAGTCTTCTGAAAATGGTCCTCAAGGTGTATACGAAATATTTATTTAGGAAACTCTAGCATTCAGTATGAAGAGCAAGAGTCAGTCTTACTTGAACCAAGACATTCTGTTCCTCCCTGCCTCCTTGCTTAGTTAGATGGAAACTCCACCTTGTGTAGCCAAGGGTGCAAGTTCCTCTTCTCCCTAGAGCCCACAGGCAGAGGACCATATTCTTGGGAGAAGCATGGTGGCAGCAATTCTCATCCTTCTCTCAGTGTGCATGTCTGGAATGAGTGATATTCAATCCCTGGTACTTCTCTGTTAAGTCACTACTAAGGCCTTTCTCCAGTTTGAACTTCCTGGTGTGGAACAAGTCTACACCACTGGCTTAAGACTTCCTCCACATTCACGGTGTTGATAAGATTTATTTGGGCTGTGATGTTTATGCCACTGAGTCAGAACAGACCTTTGATTGAATTCTTTTCCACACTAACTGCATTCATAATGCCTTTTAGTTTTGTGTCCTCTCCAGGGTTGTGGAAAGGTTGGAGGTGTGGATAAAGGTTTACCCACATTTGAAGCATCAAGACTTTTCTCTAATGTGAACTTTCTGGTGCTGAATGAGGTTGAAACGCTGGCTAAACGATTTCCCACAATCATTGCACTCATACGGCATTTCTCCAGTGTGAATCCGCCGATGTTTAACAAGGCTGGAGCTGTGGCGAAAAAATTTCCCACATTCTCTACACTCATAAGGCTTTGCTCCAGTGTGAACTCTCTGATGTTTAACTAGGCTGGAATTTTCACTAAAGAATTTCCCACATTCATTGCACTTAAAAGGCTTTTCTCCAGTATGAACTTTTTGATGTTGCATGAGACTTGAGCTTTGGCTAAAAAACTTCCCACATTTACTGCACTCATAAGGTCTTTCCCCAGTATGAACTCGCCAATGATTAATTAGACTGGACTTGTGGCTATAGAATTTCCCACATTCACTGCACTTATAAGGTCTTTCTCCAGTGTGAACTCTCTGATGCTTCATGAGGCTGGAGTTGAAACTAAAGAACTTCCCACATTCACCACATTCATAAGGCCTTACTCCAGTGTGGATTCTGTGATGCTGAACAAGTGTGGAATTATGCCTGAAAGCCTTTCCACATTCACTACACGTAAAAGGTTTTTCACCAGTGTGAACTCTGCGGTGTTGAATGAGGTCAGCATTTCGGCTAAAGGATTTTCCACATTCACTGCACCCATAAGGTCTTTCTCCGGTGTGAACTATTTGGTGTATAAAAAGGTTGGATTTATGGCTGAATAGCTTTCCACATTCACTACATTCATAAGGCTTTTCTCCAGTGTGTAGTCTCTGGTGCTGAACAAGCAAATATTTCTGACCGAAAGCTTTCCCGCACTCACTGCATTGGTAGTGCCTTTTCCCAAAATTAACGGCCTCTGCAGTCCCAGTGCTCCTGGGAGGCTCCGCTTTACGGTGAGTCATCTGGAGACTTGAGCTGAGTGTAAAATCTTTCCCATCCTTCCTGCTTTGCAAAGGCTTCTCTGACAGGTGGATTCTGCAGCCCCTCAAAACGGAGACCCTGCCCTCTTCTCTTATTAAGGGTTTCTCTCCACAGCACAGCTTCTGATGTTGGTGACGGTTTTCACTTTGCACTCCTTCTGTGGAAACTCTCTGCTCAGAAGAAGCCTCCACAGTCTCTGCTCTATGCCAACAACCTGAAGGCAGAAAGATGCTGATGAAGAGCCTGACTCTAGTGGGAGCAGCAGCACACTCACAAATGTGTGTCAGGTATCCCAGTAAAGAGTCCCTGGTATTTCTGGGAGAATGAGGGGGCTAGGTCAGGCAGGAAGGAGTTCACTGTGAACTGTTGAACCTGGCAAACTCCCATGTTGGGGAGGCCTCATGGGTATCAATGACATAGAATGGGGTACAGCACAGGTAGGATGAGCAAGGTGCTCAACATACTTGCCTGCAAACAGCTTTCTGTGAGGCCTCAACTGCTGTAGACATGGAACACAGTCCATAGGGTATGTCCAAATCCCCCCAGACTGACTGCATTTGGAGAGTCTGTGTCCAAGGACTACTCAGATAAATGCTCACCTCACAACACATTCAGCAAAAGCCTTTGCTGGCAAATGCTACAGAAGAATGGGTAAAACATGAAAGACAGAGGTGGGGGATAGCCCCGGGTCAAATAACTGAAATGTTAAGCAGGAAAATGTAGAAGATAAGATGGAAGTTACCCATGCCTTAGCCACCAAAATATCAGAAGCACTAAAAGAGTCTTGATATGACCCCATCCCTGAGTTCACATCTTCCTCAGCTCTACCCTCCAAATACCACTCAGCATGGCTGGAGTCATAACTCCCTGTGCAGGAATGGAGGGATCTCCCCATGACTTCAGCTGAGTGATTTCACATGTCCTAGAAAATTCAAGTCCTAAGGAAAAGACAGGACAGGTAAGTGACCAACGCTGGACCAGAGAACCCATTTCACAACTAACCACAGGAAAGAAAACTAATACAAAAAGAATCTTGGAGGAATGTCTTGCAACAACCCAGGAGAGTTGTGACCACATCATGGCCTCAGTTCCTGGCACAGGCAGACCTCAGGTCAGTCAGCTAGAGGAAGAGGACAGAATCTGGGACACAGAACTGCCATGGATTTACCCAGCATCACCAGGCCATTGAGAGGCCAACAGGGTGAGAGACATTAGGCTGACTACAAGACTCCCGATCCTCAAATCCTTCCCTGCATGGCTTTGGGATAGTTTGTGGAGAGAACATGGTAATGTACCAGCCCAGGCCTACTACCTACAATACCTACTCCAGATCACTGGAGAAAGCAGCAGTGTCCATGACCTAGGATACATCTGCCTTGAGGAAAACCCTGCGCAGGATGCTGTGATGGTGAGAAAGACCTTACCCAGAGAGGTCACAAGTGTAAAGTTTTCCATCATCACTTCACGGTACAGGAGTCTCTGAGCATTATCAAGCAGTCTCCATTCCTCCCGTGAGAAGTAGACAGCCACATCCTCAAAGGTCACATAACCCTGTCACATGGGGAAAATTGAGTTTATATGTAGCCTCCTTTCCTGGAACTCTCAGTATTCTCCACCAAATCCACTTCTACTTACTCTCTTCCTTACCCCCTACCTCAAGGGAGATATCAGGCTCTGGAGCCATGGATGCCCAGTCTCTCAAGTTTCCACTGACCACAGTATTTGGCACAGGGCAATAAGAGGCATGTGGATAGAGTCCATCTGATCTCTGGGGTAGATGTGCAGAGTCCTGTCCTTGTCCTGCCAGACAATTTACTGCAATCCTTCAGGTTATGCTTCTCAAATATGGCCAGATTTGGGTCACTTGTCCCTTATGCCCTCGGTACAAGGACCTTAGGGCCATCCATATACACTCTCCAGACATGCATATCACTCTTTGCACTATACCTCCTTTACATCTCAGAATAGATGCCCAGCTCCTGCCTCCGAACATTCCACCCAACATAATGAAAAACTAGCTTTGCCTGAGCACTCCTGGAAAAATCTCAGCTCAAAGCATTTTCTAATATTGATCACTATAGTCTTAATAACTTCTGACTCTCATGCCAATGGTTTCCAGGAATGGGAACCTCTCCATATAATCCCTGATCTGGACTCAGGCCCTGATACCACATGACCACCTTTCAGGGAATGCAAAGAGAAGGTTAGAATAGAAGAGTCCCAGGACAAGACAATCCCAGAAACCATATAGGTGGGAACTGAAGAGGGTGAGGCCTGGGGCACCTATACATACCTCTTCATCATCTGTAAGTGATTCTACAGCCATAGGAATCTATGGAAAAGCAAGGATGTGAGAAGCAGGTAATAATACTGGCATCTCAAAGGACCTTTCAAGTTCCCTCACGTATCCTGGAGTCAGGTGTGCCTAACCACCTACCATCTGGGGCCTAAGTCTTATGGTTTCTTACCGGCTATGTGCCCTTGAACAAGTATCCAACCTTCCTAAGCATCAATGTTGTCATCTGTAACATAGGAATAATAATGGTGCCCATCCAATAGGAGTATTATTTAGTCAAACTCCTTCATATGTGTCAAGTACTCTATTGTGCACATAATGCTACTATCAATAGTTTCAGTGCAAACAAACTGGTAGGTTTTGATAACATAGAAGGTTTTGGTAACGTAGGATGTTTTTTAAATACACCTTTGAAATAAGAATTTGATATTTAAAATATTAGGACATTAGTTGATTGTGTATTTTTATTGTTTGGATTTTTGTTTTCAAATTGGAGATTGAATCCAGGGGTGCTCTACCACTGAACTACATCCCCACTCTTTTTTTTTTTTTTTTAATTTTTAGACAGGGTCTAAGTGATCAAGGATAGCCTTGAACTTGGGATCCTCCTGCCTCAGCCTCTGGAATAGCTGAGATCACAGATGTTTGCCACCATTCCCAGCAAGACATTTAATTTTAGTTAAATGCTGAACACCATATTAAATTTTCAACCAAGTATTAAGTGCTTACAGTCCATGCTGTTTTAACCGCCCCATGTGTAAGTATGAATTTTGATCAATTAGTGCTTAAATAAGTACCTATTTCATAAATTCAAAAAGTCAATAAATATAGGACCTGAGCCTGAGGAAACCAAGTGGGTAGGGTTGGCAACCTAGCTGCCTGTTATAAACCCTCTAGTAGGCAATTCTGCTGGAGGGGAGGTCCTTCCATTGGGGCAGGTGATCATCCCTTCTGCCCTTAAGGTAAGGGGAACTCAGGCACCAAAAGGGATACTCTATCAGCCTCACAAACTTTCCTCTTCTCCACAGGGAGTAGCCACTTAAGGCATGCTGAGCCTGGAGTGACAAATCTATACTGTCCAACACTTCGTTCTCCATTTCAGTCCTGACTCCTGATACTGTATACTTCCACTCTTACAGACGCCAACCAGAACCACTTCAGACCACAGGACTCTACCCCTAAGAAGGCAGCCCTACCCACCAGGCCTACCTCTGCCCTCCCTCATCTCAGGGACCATCTGAAATAAAAACGTAAGATTTTCTCTCCTGAATATAAGCTCCAGGCCCGGCTCTGGTTCAGGCCTCCACTGAACACCTCTTAGTTATCTGTAGCCCAGTCCCTCTCCAGAACTCCAGATGTGAAGCAGCAAGCTGCCCAAGTGATGCTCCCATCCTGGTTCTGGGACATCTGGGGACCATCGTGTCCAAAGCCTAAGTCCTAATCTCCCTGAAACCTGCTCCCTGCAAAAACTCATCTACGTCCATTTGCCAGTTATTCAGGAAAAATGAGAAATATACACAAGCAAACAAAAAGCTGAGATGGCCCTCCCCCCTACTTTCTTTGAGACCCCTGTGACACACGAGGGAATCCCCCCGAGGACTCTGATCACTCCTCCCCTGCCCACGGCCAGCCCTGGGCCAAGTCCCTCCAGGACCCGCCATCTGCACCCTACGGCCCGCAGCGGCCTCTTCCCCCAGGAGTCCCTGTCTGCTCACAACCCTCCGCGGGGACTCATTCCCTCGCGCTGTGGCCTGCACTCCCAGAGGCCCGCCGCCCGCCCTCCACGCGCGGAGCCGACCCGGGCCGGGCCCAGCACGCGCAGCTCACCCGCGCCGCGGCCGCAGCCATCCGACTCCCTCCCGGCGGGCGCGCTCACGGCGGCGTCGCCGTGCCCCAGGGCTCTGACAGGGGACAAAGACTTCCTCCTGCACGGTCCTCCCGCCCCCGACACCTCAGCAGAGCCCGCGCTCCCGCGAGCAGAGGAGCGAAAAGAGCAGCCCCACACGACGCAGGAAGTACCGCCCCGGCGCCGGAAACGCCTGGCTCGGCGCAGAGCCTTCTGGGTAACGTAGTTCCACGGCGTCAAACTGGAAGGAGGCGGGCCTGGTGGCTGACGAAGAAAAGGAGACATCAGCATCAAGAACCAACAGACCGTCCAGACATTGTCCGTATTGCAGACGGGCTAGTTTCAGTCTCCCTGAAAAGCTGCTAGTTCAGTCTTTCTTTCTCAAGGACTTGAATAGGATCTTCAGGACCAACATAGAACACCAATCTTGTTCTCCCAAATTTTGCAAGTCAAGGAGATGCTCAATATAAAGGACGACGGTGGTGAAGCAATGCAGGGTGTTTGAGAAAGGGCTCTGAACTGTGGCTACCGATGGCAAGAGGGCTGGGGATGCCAAGTCTTTATTCCTGCACTCCACACTGATCTGTGTGCTCTCTCCTATCAAGGACCGATCAGGTACTTGTTAAGTCAGGGCGACAAAACTCAAATCGGTAAGCCAACTTTTGTAGATAAATGGCCATATTACAAAACTTAGCCATAACAAAATTCATACAGTACAATACTACTTATAGAAAACTCAGAATCTGGCAATTTTAAAAAAGCATATCATCTAGGGAAATCTGTGTAAAATTTAAAGACATCAACGGAATAACTATCAAACTGTCAGGTGACACAAGCTCTAGGGCATTTTCTGGGTATGTAACGGGAGCAAAGAAGAGGGGATGCCTAAGAAACTTATCAAGGGTGGTTGTTGCACAGATATGTTTTTTAAATTAAAAAAAATTCCTACACCTTTAGGAACATTCCACTGAGTATGTAACAGTTTCAAAACATTTGCCACAGGAATAGAAAAATGGATTCCTTCACAGACTTAAACAGATGCATATATGTGTGGAATTGCAAATAACATGATCAGTAAGGAAAGAATATACTACGTGGTCATTTAGTTAAGGAAAAATAATTGCCTACTAGAAAATTCACCTATCTCATTTAAAACACAAAATAAATTCCATGAGGGTATTTTAAAAGGAAAACAGCAACTTTTTCTGGGTCTATAAGTTTTCTCTATAATCTCTGGGATCCACTCCTGTTTTCAGCTTTTAGAAATATTTTCATGTCTGTCAGGAATAATAATATAAAAGTTTGATTCTCAAACCCTGTCTTCAACCAGACCTCCTTCAGGGCTGGATACCACATTCCTTAGTGTTTGACAAGTCAAACTCATCCAAGAGGGCATGAAAAGCAAATTCTCCTCAAGACCCAGTCATAGGACCACCCTCAACTTGTGGACTTCTATAGGAAAAGAGGAAAAGGTAATTACTGCAACCAACCAAACAGGTTAGAATACCGCCTGGGATTCCCAAGGTTAAAGAACAACTGAATGAGCCACCACCCAGTACTTCAGGAAATTCTAGGCTTCTAACTAGATATGACCATCTGGTCCATAGACACTGGAAGTAAGAATTCTTCAGCTAGAGACCCAAGGACCATCAGAACTATCCTTAGATGAAAAAGTGAACAGAGAGATAATACCACAGGATACAAAAATAGAATTGTATCCTCATGAAGGGAGGGGCCTGATATTTCAAAGGGCCAGTTTGAATCTATAACAGACAAGCAACCTATAAGCCAGAACAGATAAGCAACCCTATAATTCAGTATTTCCCATAATCTTTTAAAAATATATTTTAGTTGTAGTTGGACAAAATACCTTTATCTTATTTATTTTTATGTGTCGCTGAGGATCAAACCCAGTGCCTGCACATGCTAGGCAAGTGCTCTACTGCTGAGCCACAGCCACAGCCCCCCATTGTCTTGATGACCCTGTGCTATTCTAATGCTCCAGTAGGACCAAGTAATTAAAGATTACCAACCACCAACAGTGATGATGCTATTCTTTACTCCTCATTCCCACAGATACTCTAGCTTTAAGAATTAAGTGGATTTTCTTGCTACAAAATACATTATTTGGTATCTCACATGACATTCAGAAATTTATTTTCTTTATAAATGTAGTTCCATTACATTTATTATTTTTGGCCTCAAATAGCCTTATGCCATACTTTTATGAAAAACATTTCCTATGTATAGAAATTTGATTTGCTGATTATTTCTTCTGCACATAAATTGTTCATGTTGTCTTTTCATTATTAAATGACCATTGGTAAATTGCCCATCTTTTTATATACTTGTTAAATACTCAAAGTGATTGAATAGATTCCGATGTATGGAGTATAAAATATATTTTAAAAAGTGTGTTACTAAGTTTGACCCATCACTGACTATACACAGGAGAAATATATTTTGTGTTTGTGGTACTGAGCTACATCCACAGTCCAGGAATTTATGTCATTCACACTTCTACAGCTGGAAAAGTATGAAAATGAGAAAACAACAGAAAGAATGAGGATCTCAGGGAAAGGGATTGAGCCCAAGGCCACCTGCATGAGGTAACCGCAGAACAAGAGTTAGCTACATCTTCGGGGCCTTCAAACATTGCTATTCCATGTTTCCTGTGCCGTGTCTGGAGTCTTGTCTGTCTTGTGCCTAATCCAAAACGTTGAGGCTCTGAAAACTAGGTCTAGAGCTTTAGGTTAAATGTATTAGAAAACACTATAACATTTATTAGCTTCCAGCTGCAGAAGTCTGAATGATATTAGCACAGATAGTGTGTTATGGTTTAGATGTGGTATCCCCCAAAGCTCACGTGTGAGACAATGCAAGAAGGTTTGGAGAAGACCTAATTGGGTTATAGCCTTAGCCTAATCAGTGAATTAATCTCCTGCTAGGGACTAACTGAAGTGGTAGGGTGTGGCTAGAGGAGGTGGGAATTCAGGCGTGGCTTTCTGGCAGATATTAGTACCTGCAGGTGGAGCTGCTTCCCTCTGCCATGATTTTCCACCAGCATTTTCTTCTCACCTCCAGCCCTGAAGAATGGAGTGGGCCTTTAATGGACTAAGACCTCTGAAACTTTGAGCTGTCAAATAATCTTTTCTCCTTCTATACTTGTTCTCATCCGGTTCTTTAGTCACAGCAGTGAAAAAGCAGACTAAAACAGAGTGTGTCCATTTTTATATTTTTTAAGATGTGGATTTTCTGCATAAGGAGGCTGAAATGGTAAGTATTTCTGTGATGTGTTACAGACTACACTCATCAAAAACAGAAACAGCTCTTCAGAAAAAGCAAAGCTCAGCCTAGTACACAGACTCCAGACGCCGATTCCGGGCCCGGCTATTGGCACAGCTGGGCTGCGACTCCGAAGGTTTGGCCCTCGGCCGCGAGCTACCGCTAGAGCCATGAGAACTACACTACCCAGAAGCCTCAGTAGCTCCGAGTCAATCAAGACCCAGGAAGGGGCGTTCCCGCTCTGGCGGAAGTGGTTCGGCGGAAGTTCCTACTCCCTTCACGGGAGACATCTTGTTGGCTTTTTGATTAGTAGATCAGTCTCAGGAACGCCGTGTCACACCCGTGGTGACAGGAACGGGAAGTCGGGAGCCGAGGCATTGTCTTCCCTGAACGGAGCGGGCCGCGGGCTCCGCGGTGGCGCCGCCTGAGGGACCCGGGCGCGGGGCGGGGCCCCGCAGGGCGGATCCCGGCCCCCGCCCTAGTCACCCGGCCAGCCCCCGGCCCGATGGCGGCGGCGGCGCCGAGGGACCCGGCGCAGGTGGGTGCATCCCCGGTTTGACCGCCGCCGCCCAGGCTCGGAGGTGCGGGGCGGAGGGAGCGGCGCGCGGGCGAGGCGCTGGGCCTGTGTTGGGGGGCTGAGGGGAGCTCGGGGAGGCTCCCACGGGGGAGGCGCCCCGAGGGTTAGAGGGGTCCATCCCAGGGAAGAGCAGAGGGCGATGGCGGAGGAAGACTGGGGGTGGAAACGGAGGGGCCGAGCGGACAGCCCCCTCGCTCTGTGGGCAGAAGGCGGGCAGGCAGAGCCTCGGGGCTCTTTGGGGATTTCCTGCCTCTCACAGTTTGTGTAAACTTGGGAGAATTATGGGACCTACCCGGTGGGGATGCTGTCCTGAGCCCCCTTCCCGTGTGGTCCCCGGGACGGTGCGGTCGTACAGGATACTTGGTCCAGGCCTAACGGGAATCAGCGGACAGAAGGTGGACCCTGTGTGTGAAGCCTAGAGCCCAGTTGCCTGGGCTGTGGTAGGCTCGGTGGTCAGGAGGGTCACGAGGAGGAAGACACTAGTGGCACCTGGTTCTGGTGTTTCCTGTGGTGGGAGCGTGTGGTCAGGACAGGAAGGGGCCCCTTGGAAGAGAGGCACTTCATGGACTTGGCTCTCCCCATCGTGGCAGGGGCAGGTGAACTTTGAGGATGTGTTCCTGTACTTCTCCCAGGCAGAGTGGGAACTCCTTGATGAGGCTCAGAGGCACCTGTACCGCGATGTGATGCTGGAGAACTTTGCTCTTATGGCCTCCCTGGGTAAGGCCCTTATACCCGCCCCAGTGTCCTGAACTGGACTCTTCCCTTTCCTTGTTCCCCAGGGCAGCCATGTCCTTCTTACATGGCAGCCAGGTGTACTACCTCCTTCCCAGTTCCCTGGAGCTGGTGCTCTGGATGCTGGACCTGGGTTGTGTGCATTTCTGCCTCCTGCTTTTCAGGAGTCCCAGAACCTGCCATCCCAAAGGATTGCAGAGATAAAGCCAGGAGCCACGTGTTCTACAGTCAGCCAGTGGAATATATCCATCTTGTCTTCTCCCTGACATCTCTGGGCCTCAGATTTTGCCCCCTTCCTGTAGCTGACATTTCCTGTGGCTAGTGCCTGGAATTGCAATGACCAGTATGGTTATTACTTGCTACGATCACTGGGTTGACCCCACTGTGAAATTATTTTATAATATTTACTTTTCTTCTCTGTAGGGTGGGTCACCTAGACCAGTGATGGCCATTTATCTGTCCTGTCTTACCCTTAGGACACGCATCATCCATGTTTCATAGAGTTGCTTCACTGGAGCTGGGCAGTGAGCCCTGGGGACCTGACTGGGTGGACATAATTCCAGCCATTGCCAGAGAGATTCTAGGTAAGTGTGACCCTGGGGAGGGGAAGCTGGGGAACTTATCTATGATGTCAGAGCTGAGTTTAAATCATTCCATAACCTCTCTATGCCCACAGTTGTTTTAGTGCCAAGGTCACTGGCCATACTTCAGTTCTGTCTACTTTCCTATTTACACGTTTGTCTTACTCTCTGATCTTTGGTCTCTAGCCATTCCATGTCTCTGCCTCTACATCTCAGCTGTTCCTCTCCATTGCTTCCTCCTCAATACTCTTCAACATTAGCCTGATCTCAGTGAACATGCCCTGCACGGTCCTTAAACAACAGATACCCAGTAGCACTTTGATTGTCTTGAGCGTGAACGTGATCCTTCTGTACAACTCTCACCTGTCCCAAGAAACCAAGGAAATTTGATTGTAAAAGACTTAATTAGGGACCCTACATCATCTTCCTGTGCTGTTCCTCACATTTGTGTCCTCTCCCATGAAGGCTTCCTCCATTCCATGATCTTCAGATACCAGCTACTGCACAGCAGACCTCTACTGAACCTAATTTCAGGCCTGTTGTCCTGACCTCCTGTGATTTATGATCTTAGTTGTCGTTGATGCACATTTTTAATGAGGGTACTCGTAATACTTGTCAATTTGTACTTCACCAGCATTTCTCTGCTTTTAGGCTGTTGGCATGGAGTACGGGATGAGGAGGCACCTAAGCAGAGCATTTTTACAGAGGAAGTATCACAGACCAGGACTCCCAAGGGAGGCTTTTCTACTCAGGAGTCCCACCTCTGTGAGATGTGTGGTCAACTCTTGAAAGATATTTCACACGTGGCCAAGCACCAGGACACACACCCTGGGCAGAAACCATACATGTGCGTGGCATGTGGGAAACAGTTCTGGTTCACGGCAAACCTTCACCAGCACCACAAGCAGCCCAGTGAAGAGAAACCCACTAGAAGGGACAAGGGCAGTACCTTTCTTGTGAACCACTGTCCTGTCCAACCCTCAGAGATGCTTTCTATGACAAGGAAGAGTTGTAAAGACTCCCCAAGCAGCTCAAGCATTTTCCCACACCATTACCCTCACAGTGAGTGGGATCCACATGGTAATACCAGGTATGAGGAGACCATTCCTGCTGGACAGAGGCATTACACATGCAGTGAATGTGGGAAAGCCTTCAGCCGCAAAGACTCACTTGTTCAGCACCAGAGAGTCCACACTGGAGAAAGACCTTATGCATGTGGTGAATGTGGGAAAACCTTCAGCCGCAAACCCATACTTGCTCAGCATCAGAGAATTCACACTGGAGAAATGCCTTATCAATGTGGCATATGTGGAAAGGTTTTCAATCATAGCTCTAACCTTATTGTCCACCAGAGAGTCCACACTGGAGCGAGGCCTTACAAATGCAGTGAATGTGGGAAAGCCTATAGCCACAAATCCACACTTGTTCAGCATGAGAGTGTACACACTGGAGAAAGGCCTTATGAATGCAGTGAATGTGGAAAATACTTTGGTCACAAGTATAGGCTCATTAAACATTGGAGTGTTCACACTGGAGCAAGGCCTTATGAATGCATTGCATGTGGAAAGTTCTTCAGCCAAAGCTCCGATCTTATTGCTCACCAAAGGGTTCACAATGGTGAAAAGCCATACGTGTGCAATGAATGTGGAAAAGCCTTTAGTCACAAACATGTACTTGTTCAGCACCATAGGATTCACACTGGGGAAAGGCCATATAAGTGCAGTGAGTGTGGGAAGGCCTTCAGGCAAAGGGCTTCTCTCATCCGCCACTGGAAAGTCCACACTGGAGCAAGGCCTTAGTTTGTAGCTGCAGCCATGTCCTGTTCAGCATGACTGGTACTTGAGAACAGATTAGGAAGCAGCCCTTGTGCAGAGCCCTCAGCCAGAGGTTGAGCCTCAGACATTCAGACATCCATCCTGGGGAAATCCTGAATGCCAGCTGTGTTGGAAGCTTTCTGGGGCTTTGTTGCATTTTCTGACCTGCCAGAACCCTTGCCAGAATTGTATCTCTGGCATTGCCTCTGAGAGGAGGCACTGTTTTGGCACTTAGAGCCTTGTATTGTGCACTCCAGTGTGTGTGAAAGCCACACCTCTGTGTCCCTCCATGGGATCATGAGTAGCCCAAGGCTGTGGAGCACTCCCTCTCTCTCCTGCCCCTCCCCTGACTCGATTAAGCCTGGATTGGGTCAGGTTTGGGCCAGTAGGATTCTGCTGATTGCCAGCACAGGTTTCCCTTCTAAATGGACATGGTTGGTCTCAGGTGGCATCTGTGATGGATTGGTCTAGCTTCTCAGACACTTAAACTGAAATTGCCTGCCTCATATTGTTCTGGCTTGGCAACAGATGTCTTAATTTCTACATCATATTTAATCTTGGGGATTTACTTGTGGATTGGTCTGGGAGCAGAATTAGATTCCACTGGCATGAAGGGATGAAGACATTTTGTGAGAGCCCTAGCTGTTGGTGTCTCGGATGCTAGGAGGATGGCAAAGAATAGCCCTCATCTAGTGTTGGCCTCACATGTATTGCTGCTTGCACTCTCCTAGGAAAGAATACTGATCTTTGCAGATCCGATCTTGGGATCTATATGCCAAGAGTATTTATGTGACCAAAGTTACCCTAAGCAGTGGGAATTTTGACAATCTCTGTTGTGTCTGGGAGCATCTTGAATTGGGTCCCTGTTCTCAAAGGACATTTCATATTTCTCAGCCCTTTTGCAGAGAACTTGACCCTTTGGACCTGAAATAGGTCATTTGGTAAACAGATACCTCTGGTGTTTCGTGGATGGAAAAGGTGTGATCACAGTTGGTACAGGGAGTTAGGAGAGGGCAGCCGACTATAGGGATGGAAACTATCCATAGTAGCAGGTGTGGTGCCATACCTGTAGTCCCAGCTACCCAGAAGGCTGAGGCAGGAGGATCACTTGAACTCAGATTTCAAGATAAGCCTGGGTTGCATGATGGGATCCCCATCTCAAAAATAAATTGATAGATAGATAAATAAAAGTGTCTCCACAAATGTTTCTATCGTTTTGGCTTTATGAGGGTTTGCAGAAATTCTCAAGACTCCCACACCTTTGTCTCTTGTGGCTAAGGTCACTCTCAGAGATATCATTCTAAATATTTTCTGCGACAAATGGGGCATAATTATAGTGTGCAGTCTCATGTTTTTTTAATTTAATTTTATTTTTTTAGTTGTTAATAGAATTTTATTTATATGTGGTGCTGAGAATTAAACCCAGTGCCTCACACATGCTAGACAAGCCCTCTACCACTGAGCTACAACCCCAGCCCCCCAGTCTCATAAGTTTTGATACATATTTGCACCTGGGCAGCCGAAAGTTTCTTGATTCCCTTTATAATTTCTCTCCCTGTCCTGTCCTCAGGCGATCATTGATCTACTGTCACTGTAGGTTTGTTTGCATTTCCTAGATTTTATATATGTGAACTAATGCAATATGTCCTCTGATGTATCTGACTTCTTTAATTCTGATTATTTGTGTTCATCCATGTTGTCTTGTGTGTTAGAGATTTATTTTTTTTCTTTTATACTGTGAGTGTATTCCAATATGGAGAAATATTTCCAAAGCAAGTCATTTGGAGAGACTCACCCAGGACCCAAATTGCAGTGTCTGACTCATTATTGATTTATAATTTAATTCCATTTTAGAGGCGCAGGTTGTAACACGTGATTGTAACACATTCTGTAGGTGGCAATGACTAGTCCTGGTAAAGGTGGAAGGGACTGCCTGACAGAGTAAATACAAGGAGGTAGGGATTTGTGTGTGTGTGTGGGTGGGGGGGGATGGTATTCCTAGGATATTGGTGACTGCAATCTGTGCTTTGTTTTCATTTTACATTTTTAGTCTTTTAAATATGTTTTTTAGTTGTTGGTAGACCTTTATTTTATTTATTTTATATGTGGTGCTGAGAATCAAACCCAGTGCCTCACACATGCCAGGCAAGTGTGCTACTGCTGAGCCCAGCCCCCTCTGCATTTTTAGTCTTTTAATGGTGAATCTAATTGAGTTTTCAGTGTGATGCCAACCTTGCATTTCTAGGAGAAGACCCTTTTGGTAGTGATGTGTTATTCTTTATACACCGGTGGATTTGTTTAGGTATTGTATCGTATTCACAGTTGTGAGGGATGTCGGTTCCTAACTTTCTTTAACGCCTGGGCTTGGCTTTGGTTCCAGCATAATGTTGGCTTTACAGAATGATTTGGGAGCCAGTTAATCATCCAAAACAGTTTGTGAAATTGATATTTCTTCCTTAAGTTTTTGGTAGAATTCACCAACGAAGCTGTCTGGGCCTGGAATTTGTTTTGTGTGGAAGTTTTTTAACTATAAGATTGATTTCTTAGTAGTTTTCTTCTCCTCCTCCTCCTCCTCTTTCTTTCTTGTCAAGAACAAGTTTTGATGGATTATGTCTTGCAAGGAGTAGTTTGTTAATTTTATTTAAGTAGTCAAAATGTTCAAAATTCCCTTATTACTAGCAGTATCTAGAATCTGTAGTCATGCTACATGTGGTCATGTCGTGATGCTGATGTTGTCTGCACAGTATGTTTTATTTCTGATCAGTTTTGATAGAGATTTATCAATTTTATGATCTTAAGGCACATGGATTCATTAATTTCTCTATTTTCTATTTCTTTTTTCTCTTTCAGTCTGACCCTTATTATTACCTTCAGCTTTTATTAGATTTCATTTCTTTTTTGCTACTTTTTAATATGAAAGGGGTCCTTCATTTGACACCCTTGGCTGTTTTTTTTCTAATATAGATGCATAATGGTAGCATTGTCCCATAAGGACTATTTTATTTCTCTCCCATGAAACTTAATATATTGTTTTTATTTTAATTAAGTTTAAAATCTTTTAAAATTTCTTTGTAAATTCCTACTTTGACATATGGCTCTTTTTAGAAATGTATTATTTAGTTTCCAAATATTTCATGTTTTTCTTTGTTTTTTTTCTGGTAATTTATAATTTAATTCCATTTTAGAGCACATACCGTATGACTTGAATCATTTGCATTTATTGAAACTTTCTTTATTGCCCAGAATATGACTATCTATCTGTAAGATTTGCAGATTCACCTGACAAGTCTGTGTATTGTACTATTGTTAGGCGAAGGGTTCTGTACGTGTCAAAGGTCAAGAAGCTAATAAGATTGTCTAAGTTTTCTGTATCCTCACTGATTTTCTGTGTTTGGGAATTGTTTATATCAATTATTTGAAAATAATTGTTTCTATATTTGAATGTAAAAGTAGATTTACCTATTTGTACAGTTCTATCATTTTTTTCTTCATGTATTTTGATGCTGTTTTATTTGGTGAATAAATATTTCCTATTGTTATGTCCACTTAATGAATTATCTTCTTTATCATTGCAGCCCTCCTTATCTATGGCAGTATTCTTTGCCCTAAAATCTACCTTGTTTGATGTGGTACAATTAACATGGTATAATTTTGATTGAACACTCAATTTTGCCTCTTTGGGTATTGAAAACTTTTGTATTTCTCTTCTTTTTTTTTTTTTCTGTTACATTAAGTTACTTGGAAACAATATGATCTTTTAAGGCCTTGATTCCAAGCATTTTTATTCCCCATCTAATAAGGCAGAAGAATTTTATTTCCTGATGCCTCATGAAAATTTTTGAACATTTCCATTCAAACTGGTTGGATCAGGAGTTCTCTGGTCTCCAAGCCTTAAGAGGATCCTTTCTGCTGATCTGATCCTTTCTGTTGGCTCTTTGGCTGTCCTCTGTGGGGTATTACATGCATATTCAGATCTGTACTTAGCTGAATATTTGGAAATGGCCTTGTGTACATCTCTGGTTTCTTGTTCTGTGTTCTCTCTACCTTGGCAAGCCCCGATGCCAGCTTCTGACAAGTATATAGTGAGTTTGGGTCTCTGCCTGAGCTTTCCATCCTAGCACTAGAACCTAGAATTGATTTTCACAGTAACCTGGGGCAGCCCGTACAGAGGTACATGCCTGTAATCCCAGTGGTTCGGGAGGCCAAGGCAGAAGAATTGCAAGTTCAAAGCCAGCCCTGCAACTTATTGAGGCCTGAACTCAGTGAGACCCTGTTTTAAAATAAAAAATAAATGGATAACGTGTCTAAGCAATTCTTCCTCAGTAAACTGAAAATAAGAGAACAAAAATTGATCGAGGGGCTGGGGCTCAGTGGCAGAGTGCTTGCCTAGCACATGTAAGGCACTTAGTTGGATCCTTAAAACTGCATACAAAATAAACAAAGGCATGCTGTTCATCTACAACTATAATTTTTTTAATTGATTGAAAAATATCAATGACCAGGTTCACTCAGAAACAAATAGATAATCTGAAAAAACTCCTCTGCTAGATACTTGATTGATATTTCCAGATAACAGGCAAAGCTAATCTATGTGTAAATGTAAGTCTCCCCATCAAAAACTTCAAGATGGCTTCACTAATGGATTCTATAAAACACTTCATGAAGAAATAATTTGTATTCTATTAAACTCTTCCAAGAAATAAGGATAGAATACATTCCAAATATGTTGTGAAGTAATTATTACATGGATAACAAAACCAGTTAATGATATTAAAAGAAAACTAAAGGCCACTACAAGAAAGTAAATGCCAAAAAAAGCCAACAAAATTCTTAAAAAGATTTTCAGTAAATTAAATTGATGTATGTGTGTACACACGTAAACTGTAAGGTTGGTTTAACAATTGGAAATCTTAACATGTTAAATAGAAAGTAAAGTATGATAAGAAATATATCTGGTTCTTTTTGGCTCAAGGTTTCAAAACTTTTAGGACTCTTCCAGAGGTTTGTCTTTCTTATGCTAATAAGATGATTTATGGTGGGCTCCCATAATACAAGAATGGAGGCTGGTCACCAGAAAAGCCAACCATGTGATTAGAGGGTTGAAACTGTACCAGACTGATCTTTGGGAAGGGAAGAGGGCCCAGAAGAGACTGAGGTCAGTCATGTGGTTAACTAATCTTGACCATAAATGAGGCCCAGTCAACTCTGGACGGGAAGGCTTGGTTGCGTGTTGTGGGTGCTGAGTGTATTGGTAAACCAGGCTGTGACACACCCTGAATCCATGGGGAGAGGCCACGGAGTCTCCTCATCTGGGACCGTCCCAGACCTTGCCCTATGTGTCTTTTTCCATTTGGCTATTTCTGCATTTTGTCCTTTAAAACAAAATTGGAATCATAAATAGAGAAAAGCACTTTTAGTGAGTTCTATAAGTCATTCTATCAAAGTTATCAAATTTAAGGGGGTCATGGAAATTCCCCAAATTACAGCTGTCAACCCAGAAGTACAAGTTGGGCCCAGAGACTCACAGCTGACATCCTCAGTGAGTGCAGTTTTGTGGAGAGGGACCCATTGAACCTGTGGCCTTTGTCAGAGTGCCATTGACTCAATACCATGATTTACCATCCTCCCTGATTTTCTATTGGCTCACACAATCAGTGCAGGGGGGACTGGAGACTTAAGTTTTTTTTTTCTTTTTCCTTTTTGAAAATAAATCAATAAACCAATTCTAAAATCCACATGGAAATTCAAAGGACCTAAAAGAATCCTTAATAAATTATGGAAAGAACAACAAATTTGAGAGATTCTGTCTGATTTTTAAGACTGCTTATAGTGCCATACCAATCAAAAGCATAGTATTGATTAGTATTGGAAGTATTGAAATAGTATTGAAAGGTTAGAGACAGCAAAGGAGAGAGTACAGAAATAGCCCCTACACATGTATTGTCAGTTTACTTTCAACAAATTTTTAGTTTCAACTCAAAGTTTTCAATAAATTACTCTGAAAAATTACAACATCTGCTGGGAGCAATGGCATACACCTGTAATCCCAGTGGCATGGGAGGCTGAGGCAGAAGGATCACAAGTTCAAAATTAGCCAGGGGTGACCTTGCAAGGCCCTAAGCAACTCAGTGAGATCCTGTTTCTAAATAAAATATAAAAAAGGGAAGGGGATGTGGTTCAGTGGTTAAGGACCTTAGGTTCAACCCCCAGCACCCACTCCCCCAAATTTCAACATCCACACAAAAAATAAAGTAACAAAAAACCCTCAACACCTGAATCTTTTACTAATTAACTTAAAATGAATTATAAATATTAAAGATTTAAAATATCCATCTCATTGAAGATGACATATGAGAAATACTCTGTGGGCTAGACAAAGACTTTTCTAAATAAAGAATACAAAAATTGCAATAAGCTAGGGATTATCAAAATTAAAAACTTCTTTAAAAGATATGTAAGAAAGTTAAAATACAGGGTATAGCATTTGAACTGGGGAAATATTTGCAAAATATATGGTAAATAATACCTGGATTTTAAATAACCTTTACAACAATAAGAAACAACCCAATTTAACAAGCAAAGGGTGAAATTTTCAACATATTTTATCACAGAAAGATGGAGGGTAGTGAGCATGTGAAGCTGTGCTTAACACTGGTAGTCACTGGGGCAACACACAATAAACCATGCTGAGATGGCTGAACACACTCTCCTGAATGAATAAATTCCAAGACTGCCCTCAAAGTTGTAAGACACCTGGAACTATACAATGTCTGCAGGAATGCAAAATGTTTAAAACTGCCTCTAAAAACATCTTTTTAATAGGGGGGAAAAAACTACTACAGCAAAAGACAGCTTTTTAAAATGTAAATTGGTATTTTTCTGTCTTTTTTTTGAGGGGGGTGGGGCAGGAATTGAACTCAGGGGCACTCAACTACCGAGCCACATCTCCAGCACTATTTTGTATTTTATTAGAGGCAGGGTCTCACTGAGTTGCTTAGCACCTCGCCATTGCTGGGGCTGGCTTTAAACTCAAAATACTCCTGTCTCAGCCTCCTAAGCTGCTGGGATGACAGGCATGCACAACTGTACCTGGCATAAATTGACATTTTTTATAAAGCTAAACATGTATCTATTGTGTAACAGCTATCTCGTCATATTAGAAAAGAGATATTATTTATAAATTCCTAATCAGGTAACATCCAGTTGCACCTTGGATTAAACCATCCTAAAGGCACCAGAGCCCACCCTTTCAATAATGGCACTAAGTCTGTCTTCTTTCTCTGTGCCAGACTGTGGCTGGGTTTCTCAATGAATTCTTTAAGCTAATGCAGAATAGCCTCAAATATGAATGAAGTCTTGGAATCTGCTGTGAAACCATTTTAACTCTTGCTACTCTGGGAAGTGTAGTGCAGGAAGAGTGGGCAGGCTTATGCCACATCCTCTGTTGGGGAAGAGCCTCTGGAGCTCTGGAGCAACCAGGAATCTGGCAGCCCAGGCCGCATCGACATTCTAGTGGGGACACACACTTTAGTATATTGAATTATCTTTCAAGTATGCAACTTCAGAACCCAAAGTACTATTTATATTCAGCTAGAGTATGCCAATAAAATATTCAGGGATGGCAAGGTCCAAACAAACAGAAACACTGGGGAACACACAGTGTGGTGGGTCCAGTATTAGCTATTCACAGGTCAATGTGGGCATGAATTCTCCAACTTTTTTGGTGATTGCATAAATACATGCAGAGTTGGGTAAAGTAACATGGCTGTCATGAGACATTTTATGTAGATCTTTAAAGGTTAAAAAGAAAGTGGTAAACCTAACAGAAATTGCTAGGGGTTGTTACTGCAAGACACTTGACACAGAGGTAAAATCTCATTTTTACTTGCAACCAAGTCTTCTAGAAAGTTGCATTTAAAATAAGACAAACACCAAAAGATAAGTGCATTTCAATTTTCCACTAAATTAATGTTTAATATCTTTTTATTTACACTTAGAACTTTGCTATCAAATAAATCCATCATTTATATTTAATCTGGTATACATTAAGGTAATGTGAAAAATATTTCAGAGAATTTTTACTTAAAATACAATAGTTTTTTTTGGGGGGAAATGGCTCCTGGGGATTGATCTCAGGGGCACTCAACCACTGAGCCACATCCCCAGTCCTTTTTCATATTTTATTTAGAAACAGGGTCTCATTGAGTTGCTTAGCACCTTGCTGTTGTTGAGGCTGGCTTTAAACTCACAAACCTCCTACCTCAGCCTCCTGAGCTGCTGGGATTACAGGTATGCCCCACTTGCCCTTAGCTAAAATACAGTTTTGATAGTAAATTTGCACAGGATATGTGACATTTTACTAGAAAAAAATCAAGAGATAAAAATCAATGTGAGTTTGGAAATGCAGCAAAATTTAAAGTCTATAATACCTGTATAAAATAAACATTATTGGCATTTTCAAGACAAAACTTATAATTACAGAATTTATATAGGTAAATAAAAAGTACTTTCATAATCCTTGTGATTCTCTCTAGTAAAGGATGAG